TATTAAGTGTATTCACATGTTCACAGATCTCCGGAATTTTTTAATCTTGCAATCTGAAGCTTGATACACATTAAACAATGTTTAAACAATGACTCCCCACTCTCTCTTCCCCACAGCCCCTGTTAACCACCATTCCACTTTCTGTTTCTATGAGTTTGACTACTTTATGTATCCGTATAAGAAGAACCGCACAGGATGTGTCTTTTTAATGTTTACTTATTTATTTTGAGAAAGAGAGAGAGAGGGAGAGAGAGAGAGAGAGGGAGAACCCAAGCAGGCTCTGTGCTGGCAGTTCGGAGCATGGCGCAGGGCTTGATCCCACGAACCCATGAGATCACAACCTGAACAGAAATCAAGAGTCAGACACTCAGCTGACTGAAGCACTCAGGCGCCCCACACAGTGTGTGTCTTTTTGTGATTGGTTTATTTCACTCAGCATAACGTCCATGTTCACTCATGTTGTAGCATATAACAAGATTTCCTTCCTTTTTGCGGGTGAATAATATTCAATTGTATGTATAGCCACATTTTGTTTATCCATCCACCAACGGACATTTGGGCTGTCTCTACCTCTTGGTTATTGTGAATAATGTTATGAAGAAGGATGTGCTAATATCTCCTTGAGACCCTGCCTTTAATTCTTTTGGATATATACTCACTTTTCGAAGTGCGATTGCTGGCTCATAGAGTGGTTCTAATTTTAATTCTTTTAGGAATAATCAGACTGTTTTCCATATTGGTTACACCATTTTATAATCCCACCAACAGTGTCCAAGGGTTCCGGTTCCACATCCTCACCACCAATTTCCCATTTTCATTTTTTGTTTGCTTTGCTTTGCTTCGCTTTGTTGTTGTTGTTTTTGTTCTTTGCCGTTCTAATAGGCATGAGGTGGTATCTCATCATGGTTGTAATTTGATTCGAGAGAGACTTCTGATTATATCGTTGAGTTATCAGGTCTAAGTGGGGCAGTCAACTATCCTTTAATGAAATTTGGTAGATGAGAAAAATGTCTTTTATATTTACCCACCTATATCCCATTTCCAGGGCTGTTTTTTTTTTTTTTTTTTATGTCAATCCAGATTTTCATCTAGAATTATTTTTCTTCATCCAAGAAAACTTTATTTTATTTTATTTTGTAGTGTGGGTCTGCAGGTGTTATATACTTCCAATTTTTTTTTCTTTGAAAAAACTATTGTCTTCATTTTTGAAGGATATTTTCTCTGAGTATGTAACTCTAGATTGGCAGTGTTTTTGTTTTGTTTTGTTTATTTTTCTTTTTGTTTTTAGTGCACTAATGATGTTCTTGCTTTGTCTTCTGGCTTAAAATTATTTTCTGACAAGAACTCTAAAGTCATAGTTATTTTTGTTTCTCTGTATTTTTTTTTTGATAATTGTAGTACTTTTATCACTTTTTCAGCAATTTATTTATCATGTGCTTATTATGGCTTCCTTTGCGTTTTTCCTACTTAGGTTTCATTGAAATTCCTAGACTTGTGAGTGTATGATTTTTCCTTCAAATCTGCAAAAATTTCAGCCATTGCTCTCAATGATACTTTCTACATCGCTCTCTTTTGTTGATATGATCCCACAGGTTCTTCAGTTTAGTTTTTTTCCCCCTCTGTTTCAACGTGGATAGTTCCTATTGCTGTGTCTTCAAGTTCACTGATATCTCTTCTGCTGTTAAGTTCATCCAATGAATTTTCGCTTCAGAGATTTTATTTTTCAACTCTAGCAAGTTCTTTTTTTATAACTCCTCATCTCATCATATTCATGTCTTTCTTTAAATCCCTGGGCATGTTTATAACCGCTATTTCTTTTTTTTAATTTTATTTCTTTTTAACTTTTATTTATTTTTGAGACAGAGAGAGACAGAGCATGAACTGGGGAGGAGCAGAGAGAGAGGGAGGCACAGAATCTGAAACAGACTCCAGGCTCTGAGCTGTCAGCACAGAGCCCGACGCAGGGCTCGAACTCACGGACCGTGAGATCATGACCTGAGCCGAAGTCGGACGCCCAACCGACCAAGCCACCCAGGTGCCCCTATAACGGCTAATTCTTAAGTCATTGCCAATTCCATCATCTCTGTCACTTATGGGTCTAGTTCTGTCAACTGGCTTTTCTCCTCGGTCTGGGTCATGTGTTCCTCCTTCCTCATAAGCTTTGTAACTTTTTTATTGAGGTGAAATTCACATAAAATTACCTACATTAAAGTAAACATCTCAGTGGCATTTGGTACATTCACAGTGTTAAGTAACCACTACCTCGATCTTACAAAACGTTTTCATCATCCTAAAGGGAACCTGTATCCACTAAGTAGTCACTACCCATTCCTCTTCCCAACCCCCTCTCCCCCTGGGAAACCACCTATCTGCTCTCTGTCCCTATACACGTACTTATTCTGAATATTTCATATATGTGGCATTGTGTGTGTGACTTTTTGAATCTAACCTCTTTCACTTAGCACAATGTTTCTGAGACTCACCACATTGTAACATGTAGCCATACTTCAGTCCTTTTTTCTAAAATTTTTTAAATGTTTATTATTTTTGAGAGAGAGAGAAAGCATGAGTGGGGGAGGGCAGAGAGAGAGAGAGAGAGAGAGAGAGAGAGAGAGAGAGAGAGACATGGGATCTGAGGCAGGCTCCGGGCTCTGAGCTGTCAGCACTGAGCCTGACGCGGGGCTGGAACTCACAAACTGAGAGATCATGACCTGAGCCGAAGTTGGAAGCTCAACTGACCGAGCCACCCAGGCGCCCCTTTGATGTGTCCCTTTAAAGAGTGTTGACGTTTTCTGGCAACCATTTAAGCTCTGTTTGTATAATCTTGTTCATTTCAAGGCTTGTTCTCCACACTCATGATGGGTGTGGAGTAGGCTTTAGTCTAGAGCTGGTTCAGTCACTTTACTGAGATGTGACCTGTCTCGGCTCTCTCCTGAATGCTCTGGTGTCCAACGTGGCTTCTTGGCAGTTAACGACCTCCCTACCTAAGTGAAACCTGAGAGTTGTTCAGCAACTCCCACACCTCCAGGCCCCACCCCCTGCCGCCAAGTTGTTCTTTGCCTGGACTTGATGGCAGTAGGCCAGGTTCGAGGACCCAGGGGATCCTATAGGACCAGCCAGGACTCTCCTTGGCTTCATGAAGGACGCAGGACGGAAATCAAACATGAGTCAACAGGAAGTGAGAGCAGACATTATTGAAGATACAGGGAGACCAGATACAGACAGAGCATCTGGGAGACTCAGAAAGGACAGGACCATGAGTCTCATCTTTGTCTGGGGTTTGGGTTTTCTTTTGTTTTATTTAAAAAAAAAAAAAAAAAAGATTTTTTGTTGAATGCTCAGCTGACTGAGCCCCTATTTTTGTCTCATTTAAAATAATATTTTTTTAATGTTTACTTATTTCTGAGAGTGGAAGAGAGACAAAGCACGATTGGGGAAGGGGCAGAGAGAGAGGGAGACACAGAATCTGAAGCAGGCTCCAGCCTCTGCACTGACAGCAGAGAGCCTGATACGGGGCTCAAACTCATGAACCGTGAGATTGTGACCCAAGCTGAAGTCAGATGCTTAACCGACTGAGCCACCTGGGCGCCGTTTTATTTTTAAGTAAACTCTACACCCAACGTGCGGCTCAAACTCACAACCCCAAGATCAAGAGTCACATGCTCTAACGACTGAGCCAACCAGGTGCCCCTGGGTCTGGGGTTTCACTGAGGATGGTGGTCTGGTGTAGGTGTCCTCTCCGGCATCCAGGAACTGGTCAGAACAAACACCAGGGCATAGGGGTTATTCCTGAGAGCCAGGAGGTCTTGGCCTGGAGGTCTGGCTTGGAGGTCTGGCTTGGAGGTCTTGGCTTGGAGGTCTTGGGATGGAGGTCTTGGCATGGAGATCTGGCTTGGTGGTCTGGTTTGGTGGTCTTGGCATGGAGGTCTT